CCGGGCTGCGTGCGCCGGCACGGGCTCGCGCTCCCTGACAGCTTCCCCCGGGCTCCCCCCCCTTGTAGGTGCAAGTAATGCAGTCAGGATCAATGGTTAGATTAGGCTCCTGGCGTGCTCTGAGCACTGGGTCTCTCGACAGCAGTAAGAGCTGGGTATGGCCGGTACCACCCAGGCCCTGCCTGCATACCAAAACGGTTGGTACGACAGAGCTAGCTTATTCACAGGCTACTGAGCCTTAATACTGACACTTAGTGTAATGGTTTACAGTAAAGGAAGGATTCTCCTACAAAGCGCTGAAGAGAGGGGAGGAAAAAAAAAAAATCCCCAGCCCATCCCTTCCTCTCCCTCTCAAGAGTCCCTGGAGAGTCTCACAAGCAGGGCAAGGAGCTGGGGAGGCGAAGGGGTGGCAGGGGGGGCACTGCTGGGTCCCGTCGGGGGCATCAGGACGAACGACAGCAAGGACAGTCGTAAGGAAGGAGACACGGTGCTGGTGCTGTGCTGCCTCAAGCTGGGAGGTGCGCGTGGCCAAGCGGAGCGGGGAGAACTAGTCTTTCTTCAAGTCCCTGGATTCAAAAAGCTTCAGGCGTTCTTGCACAGTCAGGCCTTCCTTCAGACTCTGGCAGAGACAAAAGACAGAGAGCGTCGGGGGAGAGGGCAGGTGGCACCCAGAGAAGGTGAGAAGCCCGGGCAGGGAGCTGCGGGAGGACGGCCTCCCCCGGGAGATTAGTGGGACATGCTGAGAGAGAACACACGGTTATGGAGGGTGGTTACTGGTGGATGGTGCCTAGAGAGAGGGTGAGATTGCAGATGGACAGATCAGGAACAAACGAGGGGCACAGCGTACTGCGGGCACCCCCCAAGGGCTCCAGCACTGAGGGGCCCCCGGGCAGGCAGGGTTCTGCTATGCCAAAGCAGCAGGCTGCTGAGCAGGACGTGCCCACCAGCCCCCCCTGCCCACAGCACTGCAGGGCTCGCTCCAGCGGCCCTGCAAACGGCGGTTTTGTTGCCAGTGACAATCCCACCCTTTCTCTAACCCCAGCCCGGGGGCTCTCCCAAGCCCAAGCTGCCTCTACTGCGCAGGGTTAGACAGAGGACTCGTTAAATGCTTGCTTCAGGTGGAGCAGGACCTGACAGCTGATCCAGTTCAGATGCAGCAGCCAGATGTCACGGCAGGACGCTCAGCTAGCCAACAGATTTTTTGCATTCAGCTGTGTGAAATCTCTCTCCTCCACGTGCAGGCCCAGCAACGTGAGGGGCAGAAGCCCAGAAGCAAACTGCTTGCCCCCTGTATGACAGCTCTAACCTGACGCTAGCCCCAGGAGACTCACAAGCCAGAAGCCAGCTTGCCTGCTGCCTGCACGCCGGCTCCCTCCAGCTCACCAGGAACTGGAACGTTATTTGCCTTGCAGACCACGACGTGGCAGCTTCAAAAGGCACAGACCTGAGCACACAGCCCCTTGGATTAACGGGCAGCCATCTCTCCCCTTTGCTTCTCCTTCCCTGACCGTGGTGCCAGAGGACTGCACCATCGTGGCAGGTCAGCTCTTGGGCTGGGTTGCCTTTTAACCCGTGTTTATCAAGGCAGGGTTCCAGGATAAACTTGCCCCGAGGCTGTGCAGTCCAAAACCAGATTGGTTTGAGTTTACAAATGCTGTGTGCTTTCTTTTCAACGGGCAGCAGAGTCTCTGGGGATGCGAGTCTCCGAGCACACACTTCCTAAAGGAAGTTTACTTTGGGCCTCTTTAAAGAGGCAGCAGCCCTCTGTGTTCCAGTTTGTACATCCTATTTCTCATTAGGAAGCAGACAACAGAAACCATTAGACTGTTCTGCCTGATGGCACAAATTCCAGCAAATTTGCCCCTTAGGCAGCCTCACAACCCATTTGAGTTGCTGATGAGGGGAGCCTGATGAAGGGAGACTAATGTAGGATGAAATCTGAGATACAGGGATCCTCCATCAGACTTTCCAGACCCTCCAGCCATCCCCTGTCACCATGCTGGGGAGCTCCCCTCATTTCTCTAACCTCCCTCTACAGGTGCTCTAACCTCAGTCTTTACCACGGGCCAATAAATTAACTATTAATTATTGCTCCAGTTATTTGAGGTATCTGGGTCATTGGGATCGGTCTCGTTTCTCATCAGCTCCCTCCTTTGCTGGATGAGCTCAGAAGCCTCAGGCCAGCATGTGGGATGGAGGAGCAGTGCCAAGGGATGGAGAGCAGCAGGGTGGACACGGGGGAGCTGGAGGAAGCCTGGAGAGCAGGGGGAAGGTTACTGGGCAAAGAAGATTCCTTTGGCTTAGGCACGGATCAACCTAGAGAAGCAGTGATTATGGGTAAGGGGAATTTAGGGCAGCCCAGGACATCCCATCTGCAGCTGAGACGGGGGCCACCATTCTACAGGCTAGAGGCCTTGGTGGGAGATGAGTTTATCACTGACCCACTCCTCTGCCTGGCTGACAGCAAAAGGGCTGTTCTGCCCAGCAGACCCGGGTGGTGCTGGAGTTTAGTCGGAGGCATGCAGAGTCATTCAAGCATGCACACTCAGTGTCCCACACTCCCAACACAGCAAACAGGAGAAGCTGCCCCACCGTGCCCAACCCCTCTCCGTGATGGTTTAACTGTGTTGGCGAGGGTGGGAGGAGCAGGAAGATGAGAAAGCCATAACCCCAGGGAAGAGCCAGAGACTGCCTTTCACGCGGCTCTTGGGTCCACTGACTTCTCCCTTCCCCCTCCCCGGGTTAAATAATTAGCCGTAAATGAACCAGTCAGTCATTAAGAGAAGAAGGGCTCTCGTTTGCCATGGAGGTGTGAGCAGTGCATGCACACGTGGGCTGCTCCAGGGGGCAGCTGCCTCGCTCGGGGGGCCGGTTTGTTTACCTACGTGGCAGGGAACCTGGACTCGGGTTCATTTCAGTTATCCCATGAGACCTGCTCAATAACGGACTGTTGAAGGAGAAAGCAAAATAAAGAAGAAAACAACAAAACGAAACGAAACAAAACAAAAACACAACAAAACAAGACAAGAAGCTCATAAATCCTAAATGCATTGGCGCTGGCGCAGCCCCAGCCCCCCGGCCCCCGCGGCAATGCGAGCAGGCAGCGTGCCCAGGCAGAGCCCATGCTTGCTCTCCTCGCCTCTCCTCCTTCTCCCACCGAGCACCACACGATCTGAGTTGAAGTGGTGAAGGGAAACCCACCATCAGACCTGGCCCAGCAGGTCTGGGCCGCCCCTGAAATGCGCAGAGGTGCTCTCTGTGTCTGCTGGGTGCAGCGCAGACCCCCCCAGGCTGGTGACCTGCCAGAGCTCCACCGTGGTGACCGTTTCCCCATCGTGGGCATGGAGCTAGAAGCCCGTTGCCTGCCCGGCTTCTTGCTCTGCCCAAGGTGCCAACCACTTCAAACATCAGCATGAGACACCAGGTGCCCAGTGGTGAGAGGCAAAGCAGGTTTTGCCCGTGCTGATCTTTCTTCCCACTGGTCTAGGGTTAACGATGACTTCTGAGAGGCTTTATTTGCCCTTTTGATCCCTGTGGTGCCACAGCAACAGCCAGTGTGTAACATGACGTAACTCTGGCTGTCAGCAGGCCAAGCAGGAGAGCTTGGCACAGCATCACTGAGCTTTGGGACCACCAGCAAGTACAGAATGGCTGGAGAAACACGGGGCCATCTGCACCATGTTAACACATAAGCAAAGCATGCATTAAACATGCCCGGGACCAAGGCATCGTTGTTCAGGATAAAGATCAAAAACCTTGCAGTGATTTACACTAAAACCTAAGATGATTGCATGCATTTCCACCTATTGACACCACCCAAATTTCAACTGAAAACGGGGAGCAAACACTGGGAGAGTCCTCCTGTGAAAGACCAAAGAACAGGGTGAACTTCATCCTTTCCTTTCAAGCAGGGAGAGCTCCACACCTCGATCTCTGCAGGGTCAGGGCTGTGTGTGTGCCCCGTGGGGCACTGAGTGGGGAGTGGGCTCTGCCTGGCTGCACAGCCAGCCCTCTCCCAGTCGAAAGGTCACTCTCCTTCCCAGTGCCACCCAGTCCAGCACTGCTGACTGGGAAATTCTGAGTTTTCTTTCCCTGCTGATTTCCTCCCACCTGGGGCCCCCACCAGAGAGTAACGTTGGGTGTTCCCATCACAGGGGGACACCTGAGCTCACCTTTGACCTGATATTCCTTAGTTGCCGGCTAACACTGGATCTGTCTTTCTTCAAGAAATCAGGGTTGCTTTTTGATTTCATAATATCTGGGAAGAAGCAAAAGAAATGGCATTAGCATGGTGCCCACTGGGGCTCTCCTGTCCTCCCAGCCTGGCTAAGCGCCCCGATGAGCCCAACTCAAGCAGCACTGCCAGGAGGGCAGAGGGGACTCTCGGGGGTCTCTGCTCCCCTCCATCACATGCAGCATGAGATTTTCCCTATGCAAAATGCCAGAAGGATTTAAAAACCCATCAGCTTCCTATCCGTGGGCTGGAAGGAGGAACTGCCATGGGAGGACAGCTCCAGTGAGACTGTCTACAAGGAGTTGGGGGGGGAAAACAGCAAGAAACAGCCAAAAAGCACCACGCCAAGTCCTACACTCAGCCCTGTTACTGCAAAGGGGCTTGTGTGCCAGGGTGCAGCTTGGGAAAGCCAGGACTGCTGAGAGCTGCTGGAGGAGGACTGACCATATCCCGATACAGTGGTGTTCACAGGGGATTTCTCTCCCTGAGCTTCTGTGGCTGCTTTCAGCTGCTCTTTCAACCTGCTGATGTCACAGTCTGCCTTGGCCTTCACGATGCTCAGCTCCGTGTAGATGTCTTTGTACTTGTCACTGGCGTATTTCTTATCCTGGCAAAGGAACAACAACAAGCCCATGGAGTCAGACAGACAGCTGGAGCTGAGGGGTTTGTGAATGCACTGAGGAGGAGCTTGGACAACGCCGATGGAAGAAGAGCCAGCCAGGGTGACACAGGCATACCACCCACACTCTCAAATCATGGCATCATAGCATGGTTTGGGTTTGTGTCTAACACAGGACTCGAGACATGCAGAAAGCTGAGTCCAGTGGCAAGCTCACAGTGCTGCCCAGGAACAGGATTACTTGTGTGTGGGTTTTAATTTTAGCAAAGGCATAGAATTCAAGCAGAATTCCCAGAAATGGCCTTGGCAAAGAGATTGTCCAGAGCAAACCAGATCTGATGTTGGGAAGCTGGGCAGATCTCTAACGCTGATTATTTTTGCCATTTAAATCTGATCTGATGTGACAGGAAACAGGGAAAAAAACATTGAAGGGGATGTTATTCCACATGGTCTCCCTTGTGGGGGAAAGTCCTAAGCTGATACAATTGTGGAGTGCTTTACTGATGACACCAAAATGGGTATTCAGTCCAATTCAGGGGAAAAATTAAACACTGTTCCAAATCTGGGTAGAAGCAAGCTGAAATCTAAGTGCACACACACACAGGAGCAGAGCACAGCCCGTAAGAGATTTGCAGAGATGTCCCTGGCATTACCCTCAGTGCAGTCTGCAGCTCATCTTTGAGGGAGCTGATCTCCTGCTTCAGGTACTGGATTTCTGACTCTTTGACCCGCAGCAGGACCTGTGGGGACAAAAGCAGCACGTTTGACCCCAGCAGATGCAGCCTGGTCCTGAGACACTTGCCCGCTGGGCCTGGTGACAGCTGAGCCAGGGCTGGAGGCTCAGCCCTACACTGCCTCCATGCCAGCACCACAAAGCTGCTGGTTCACCCACCTCCTGGTTCACGCAAGAAAAAATTACTCCTGGGTGTCGTGGGACCTTGCCCAAGCTCACACCACCCCCTGTGTTTCTGTGAGTCCCAGCTGCTTTGTGTGGATGGGATCCACGGGGACAAGCAGGGGCTGCAGAAGGACAAGCAGCTGTCCACCTTGACATGGTGATAAGGGAAGAAAAGGACTCCAAAATCTCCTGGCCCCATCGCCCCAGTGATGCTGGGCAGACTGGCTGGCTGGCTGTGACATCCTCCCGGGGCTCCACAGGCGCCTGTGCCCCCAGTACTGCCCCTTGGGCATGGCACAACTCACCTCCAGCTCGTAGGCGTCCTTGCCCTGCGTGAGAGGCGACCCAGCAGCCTCTCCCCCGCCCTCCCCCGTCAGCAGCGTCCGCAATCGCGTGATCTCCGCAGCCAGGCGGTTATTCAGCTCCTGGGGAGAGGAGGAGAGCCGTGGTGGGAAGGGGGAGCCTGGCAGCCCTGCAGGGAGCCCGCTGCGCTGCCAGCCACCCCGGGCACGGAGGGGGTCTCTCTCACCTGGTTGTGGGCGTTGAGCTCCTGGTTCTCCCGCTGGCACTGGCGGAGGGCCTGCCTCTCAGCCTCCAGCGCCTGCGCCAGGTGGGCGTTCTCCAAACACTTCTGGGAGTACTGCTCCGAGAGCACCTCCAGCTCCCGCTGCACCGACTGCAGCTCCTCCCTGCCGAAACACACCCGGGCAGTGCCCTCCCTGCACACACACACGGGGCACGCCCCGCCCCTGGAGCCCCGGGACAATCCAGCTGGGATGTGAGCACTGGGGAGGATGACTGGGGTACTCCCTTTGGGGAAAATCTCCAGCCCCGAGCAAACCAGCCCTTCCCTCTCCTGCCATTTGGCACCACAGGGGCAGGGAGAACCTTCTCTAGGAGGTTAAACTGCAGGACTTCCTCAGGTTTCCAAAAACGGAGCTGAGATCTATTGAGGTTGCTGTGGGCACTGGGGACTGGGTGTATTTGCACACCTACACATCTTAAGTAGATGCACAAAGCTGTTTTGCTCAGCGCCCACGTGAGGACAGCCTTGCCATGAAGGGCAAAGTGCTTTCTCCTCGCCGGGTCACATTAGGTTGAGCAACCCTCCCACTGCAGCTGTGGGAAGAGCAGCACCGTGTCTGCACATCTGGTGACCACAACGCAGCTGAATTTGGGTGGGGACATAGACCTGGAGCCTGAAAAATCACGAGCAACCAAAAGCCTCTGATGGGCACAGCCAGGTCGAGACCAAGGGAAGAGATCACTGCGACAACAAGTCTGCCCCTAACTCATTGCCAAAAGCAGAGAGGAGAAAAGGGGTCTCCCACAGGTGCCACCTCCCCGGGGGACACGGCAGCAGGTGGAGGATGATGATGGCCTTACAGGTATTGCCTTCGGAGGGCCTCGATGTCGGCATTGACGCTGCTGATCTGCGAGCGCTGGGACTTCTCCAGCTCCCGCTCCAGCTCCTCCCGGTGTGCGTTCTTCATGGCCTCGATGGCTGCGTGGGACAGCACAGCGTTAGCTCTCCACACCACTCCACCCAAGGCAGGCTTTTTGGGGATGTTTTTGGGGTTTTTTTTTTAAAGGAACAAGAGCCAAGCCATCCCACCGGGCCCCCCACTGCTTTGCAGCCCCTTCGGTCTGTGCCCCTGGCTGGAAAGTGGCAAAGGGGTTTCTGCAAGGCCCACTTTTTAATCAAGTCCAAACAGTGACCAGTTTACATGTTGTTTCCTGAATTGAGACCCTGGGCCCCTGTGCTTTAGAACTCCCTGGGGCACTGAAGAATCAGTTCAATGTGGGATTGGCAATAAATTAACCACAGGAATGACTAATGCCTTGCTGAGAAGGAATGGAAAACAGATCAGACCCCCTGCAGCCAAGGAGAGTAGTACTAAGCCTGGAGAAGGACCAGGAGATGGACCTCCAACCAAAACATCTCTCCCACCAGCCTCTCACTATCTCTCTGGGATCTCCCCCCAGCCCTCAGCCCATCCCACACTCTGCTCCTCTATACTGGAGCACACGCCATCCCTGTGTCCCCATCAGCACGAGCTGCCCCACCATGGGGGACCCTCTGGTGTGTCCCCATACCTGAAATGGTGGCAGCTGTTTCTTCTGCCAGCAGGCGGTCCTTCTCCTCCCGTAGCTTCTCCAGCTCCCGCTGGTGCTGTCGCTGCAGGTCCTCGATCTTCTTCTGGTGTGTCTCCTCCATGGCTGCAAAGCCCCTTTCACATGTTGCCTGCAAAAGGGATGAGGGGAAGGGGTTGGCTGGGGAGCGCAGGGCTGAGGCCACAGCAGCTGTGAGCCCACCAGGAGCCACACACCAATGGGTAGGTCAGCACCCAGGTTCCATCATGGGGATCTTCTCCCTCACCAACCACAGAAGAGCTGGCTGAGAATGGACCTCACAAGGCCAGGGCTTGTCCTGTAGTTGCCTGGCCCCTGACAGCTCCAGTAAAAGGGAAGGAGAGGGCAGGCCTGGGGTCAGACCCCATCAGGGAATGCAAATATATGCCAAACCCCCCCCAAAAGCCTCCCGTGCCCTTGTGCTCTCTTTTGAAAGGCCTGACTTTATGCAGCCACCCCTGGGGTGGAACGCAGAGGGCTCGTGACAGCAACAGCACCTGAACTCCCAGCCGAGTACCGCTTCGAACGCCGCACGGGCAATGATTTGCTGACTGAATTACTGGGAGTGAAGCTGGGCCAGGACGTGGGAGCAGCACTCTGGGGATTCAGGAGGCCCCAGCAGGGAGATCCCCAATTCCAGCCCCGGGCACAGCGCCCGCTCCTGCCCCGGCAGCGGGAGCAGGGACGGACACACAGCTGCAGGACAGAGGCAGGACAGCAAAGCCACAGGCTGGAGCCACGAGCTGGGAAGGGGCAGGCACTGGGGACACGGTGCACGACCCCCAACAGACAGCTGGGGGCAAAGCTGATGCCAAGCAGGGCACCGGGCTCCTCTCCCTCTTCATGTTAGAGGCTGGCTTTATTTCCTGATCTCAGTGGATTTGTTCTGGATTCACACTTGTGTTTCCCATGGGAAGGGAGAACTGTCACCTAGGGAGCCACTGGGACCCTGTGGGAGATTTAAGGGGGGCAGATTCACTCCCCCAGTGACCAAACTGCCCGTGACAGTCTAACACCCCTGACCTTCACTAACATACACTCTTCAGCATCCCTTTGTTGTCTAACGCTCTGTAACCTGTCCCACTCTCGTTCCCAGTTTTCAGCTCCTGTGCATCTTCCCCTCCCCTTTAAGCCTGAATCCTGAGGCATTCTTCACTTTCTCAGTCTTTTTTTTTTTTTCCTGAAACTGAACTTGGTGCCAGAACCTGTCTGGACATGGTTGATCCTGGAGAGGCACGAAGCAGCCCTGCAGGATTCCTCGTGACACCACGGGAAGTGGTGAATGCTCCTCCAGAGCTCTGGCTGTACATTCAGGATTTAATGGACTGGAAATGCATTGCTGTAAATCCAGGACATCTGAACATGTCCAAACCAGAACCTCGTGTTGCTGATGTTACATTCTCCATCAGGTTCAGAAGAGAACCCATAAATGGGACAGGTTTGCAATCGCCTGGTTAGTCCTGTAGCCAAGGCATGTCTCTATTTTGCTCTCTGTCCCTCTGCTCCCTACGAAGGTGCCCAGACAGGCCAGCTCGCCCTGCTCTCCTCCTGGACCCCTCTGCCCAGAACATGCCCCTTGCCTTCCGACCAGGCAAACTGCAAGTTCTGGCAGCAAAACACAGGTGGGAGGTCAGGTTTGTTGCTCACTGATTTTCCAGCCTCTGTTTTGGTCCTGGCCTTTTTTCTTTCTTCCAGAACATGAACATCCCCTGGTACAAGTGACCCTGCTTGGTGCCTGCCTCACAGGACAAAGCGTTATCCATGTGTCTCACTGAGCTGAGCAGGGAGTTCAAGATGGGCTTTTCCTTCCTCAGGGTCAAGATGGAGGAGAGAGCGTTGAGGGAACACCACTGCTCCACTCCCATCTCCCCAGCAGCTCTCCCTGCCCTGGACGCCCGATTCAGCCCTGATGGGAGGCAGCAGAAGCACCGCTCTCCCCAGGCTAAAACCAGCTTTTGGCTAGAGCTGAGCCACAGAATCCCAGACAGGGTTGGGTGGGAAGGGACCTTTCAAGGTCATCTGGTCCAACCCCCTGCAGGGAGCAGGGACATCTGCAGCTAGAGCAGGTTGCTCAGAGCCCCGGCCAACCTCACCTGGGATGGTTCCAGGGATGGGGCAGCGACCACCTCTCTGGGCAGCCTGGGCCAGGGGCTCACCACCCTCAGTGTAAAACATCTCTTCCTTTACCCCTAGCCCAGATGGGGGCTGAGGATCTCACAGCTGGAAGCAACCTTTCCTGTATCTTTGCTGACTGTGAAGAACAGCTCCATGAAAGCCCCACTGGCATGGCCTCTGTGCACAGCCTGCTTTGCTGCCCTTTGGCCACCCGTCCAACCTGGAAGCCTCCCTTGGTGCTGCCAAGAGGCCTCTACTACCCTAAACCCCCCTCCTAGCTGGAAATGCTCTCCCATCAAAAGCCAAACACCAAACCCAAGAGGTCTTTTTTTCAATGCTGTGCCATCTCAGGCTAGTTTTACAGCCAGGCTGCCTGGTGGAGCAATCTGAACCATGGCATTTCATTGCCAGTGGGTTTTTCTGCACCTAGCCTGGGTTTCCCGTAACTGTGCACTGTTTGTTGTGTGAAGGATGGCTGGTGTACAGCACCAGGGTGGTTCCCCTCGCAGCCTCACGCAGAGGAGCTTTGCTTTGCTACAGAATTTGGCATCTTTCTGCAGCTACTTTCCCCAGGAACAGACATTTTCAGAGCGTGATGTTTCCACTTCATCCTGCGTTTCTGAGGGAAGCAGAGACAGGCTGCAGATTTGATCAGACTGGGAAAGACAGAGTTGAGGAATGCTTTTAAAGGGAAATCTTGAAGGAAATGTACACCTCAGGTTTGAGGTGAAACCCTATGGCCTTCATATTGCAGGAGAGCACGATGCCATCAAGCTACGGTGAAACACTCCCTCCCTCTACATGCAGAGAACATCTCCAGTGATCAGCCCTCCCACTGAGACCAAGCCCTTGGCAGTGCATTTAGAATACCCCAGCATGGAGAAAAGGAAAACACCACGACCACAGAAGCCTTTCTAACACTTTGGGCCTTGCTTCAGCATGCTGGCTCTTTTAGGGGATGCCCCTCGGGTGGGCAAGTGAACCCCAGGACCAAAGGCACCCTCCCGTACGCTCAGCAGCAGAAAGTGTGAAGCGTTAAACGTATCAAGACCTTTAAGTTTTCAAAGTCTTTCTGGTATTTTTCCCTCAAGGTGGAAGCGTTCCCCTCCAGATGCTTGTTCTCCAGCTCGTCCCTCATGACGTTCATCTGGGCCTCCAGCTCCTGGATGCGTTCCCTCAGGCCGTGCATGGAGTCCAGGTCACTGCTGGGGCCCTGCTCGGTGCCCCCCGTCTCAGCGGCCGCCCAGGAGTCCCCACCGCCGGGACCCACCATGGGGGACTCCTCGGGGTGCTGCCTCTGGTACTCGTCGAGGGTCTCCTGCAGGCGCTGCAGGTTCTGGCTGTAGTGCTCCTGCAGCGCCTGCAGCTCCTCGCCGTGGATGACCTGCAGCTCCTTGATCTTGGCCTGGAACTTGTCCTCCAGCACTTGCATCTGCTCCAGGTGATACCGCTCCATGTTCTGCTTGTCGCGGACAATGGCATCCAGCTGGTTGAGACCCTCTGTCCTCTCAGCCTTCAGAGCATCCTCCGTCCTGTTGAGCTGCTCTAGCACGTTTCGAATCTCCTCCTCATACCGTCCCTGTAACTCGCTCAAGCTCTTGCTGTGTTTATGCTCTTCCTCCTCCAGGAGCCGCCGCTGGCTGTCCAGCTGGGACACCTTGGCTTTGAGGTCGGCGTTCTCCCTCTCCAGCACGGCGATCACCTCGCTGTACTCCCCCTGCTGCTTCCTGAGCAAGTCCTCGTACTCGTCCCGAAGGAGCGAGACCGTCTTCACGCGCTCTTGGCAGAGGGCATCCATGCTCTGCAAGGACTCCTTGTAGGCCTTCACCTCCCTCTCATACTCCAGCCGGACTTTGCAAGCGGCGTAACAAACCTGAGCCTGAACAATTGCATCGTGGACTAACAAAGAGGAATACCGTTCGAGGTCTCCCATGCACGAGTGGTAGGAAAGACTCTGAGATATCTTCAGGAGCTTCTGACAGTCTCTCATCGCCTCCTCGGGAGGCAGAGAGAGTAAGGCAACAGATATCTCCTTCAGAACATTTGATTTGTCCTTCAGTTGTTGGGCGAGATCTTCCTGAATGGAAACAAGAGCTTCACTGCTTCGGTCCGGCAGGCTGCCGATCTCCTCCACCTTGGCTAACTCCTGACACGGCACCATCTGGAGATGGCTCCCATCCCAGGAGATCTGGGTTCTTTCTGAAGCATCTTTTTGAATTTCAAGTGCTTCAGAAATCTGGTGCATAACTCTGTCAAAATCAGGAGTCCTGTACGCTTTGATGATCTCCTCCAACATGCATTTATGCTGCTGGAGAGCCGTTTTGGTATTATGGAGGTCTTCTTCGATTGTTTTTAATCTCTGATGAAAAGATTCTCTCATTTTCTGTGCAACAAACCCAAGTTCTGCTTTGATCAACGTAGCATCTGCTACAGCACTGAGAAAACATGGAGAAAAGCCCAGACCTGATGTTTCTGTTTTGCCCTCGGCTTCTCCATCTCTGGTGCTCAAGTGTGCTCTCAGCTCCTCCACCTGGCTCCAGAACTCACCCTCCAGCAGCAGCTTCTTAGATAGGATGCTGGCCAAGTCGACTGCTGTATGAGAAACATTTGCTGGCTCCAACAAAACCACCTCAGCCGTTCCCTGGATCTCTCTCAGAAGCTGAGATATCTCAGAGCTTGCATTCTTCAAAGACTCTGCTATTTGGTCGATGAGAGAGGCCTCAAAGGCCACTCTCTCAGAAAGCCATCTCAGTTGGCCGACGTCGAACATTTCCACTCGCTGCTCCTTGGAGACATGCTCCTCTTCTCCCAAAAAACCTCCTTCTGGAGCGGGGCTCTCTGCGACAAGGCTTTCACTCTGCTGATACTCTGATGGGACTGGTGCCCCTCTCAAGGCTTGGATGGCGTTTGATAAGGTTGTTTCCATGCTAGACAGAGTAACGAGGAACAAATCACCCTCTTTTTCCTTGTCTGATTTGGGCAGAGATCTTAGTTGCT